TTTGCTGTTGGTTGCCTCTTTCAACTTTTCAGCACGGCAGATGTAGGTTCACTGCCAGCTCTGGGAGCCTTGTTTACTGCCCCAACTCTTGGAAGCAAGGGGTCCACACTGCCACCAAGTAACTTATAGCACACTGTCCACAAACCCCATTTAAGTAGCAAGACCTCCCAAAAGAGCCAGCACAAACAAACAGGAAGCTATCTCTTAGGCCAGCAGAGGGTATCAGATCTCATTCAAGGTGGTTGTGAGCCACCATATGGTTGCTGGGAATTGAACTCAGGACCTCTGGAAGTACAGTCAGTGCTCTTAGCCGCTGAGCCATCTCTTCAGCCCCAGAAGCCATCTCTTAAAGGAAACCATCTGCTCACCTCCAGCAAACAGAACCTATCTGAATAAATGTGGCTATGCAGAAGCCATTTTTGACTTTGTTTCTGTGTCTAGAATCTTTCTTGAAGCTTCTAATTTAGGCTTCATGTGGATGTACAAGCCCCACATTGGGCGCCACTTGTAGGCAAACATTTCTCTCCTACCCGCCAGTTCCCAAATAACCACTCTGAGGCTTAATATTAGTTACAAACTGTTTGACTTACTAGCTCAGGCTTATTATTAACTACCTCTTACAATTAAGTTAACCCATTTTCTATGATTCTGTATTTTACCACGAGGTGCAAGGCTTGTTACCTCACATCTTCTCCGGCAGCTGCTGACATCTCTTAGACTTTGCCTTCTTTTCCCTGTATCTCTGCTTGGATTTCCCGCCTGCCTCTATTCTGTCTGGCTGTTGGTTAAATCAGCTTCTTTATTAACTAATGGTAATAAAAACATATTCACGGGGACTGGAGAGATGGCTCAGAGGTTAAGAGCACTGACTGCTCTTCCGGAGGTCCTGAGTTCAATTCCCAGTAACCACATGGTGGCTCACAACCATCTGTAATGACATCTGTTGCCTTCTTCTGATATGCAGGCAGAACACTGAATATGCAATAAATAAAATAAATCTTAAAAAAAAACATATTCACGGAATATAAAAGGGCATCTCACCCCCCCACCTCCCAAAAAGTAAAGACTGCATAATACATCTGTCTCCATGCAGAGCAGACTCTGTAGGAGAAATATTGGAAAAGATTATGTCCCACAGTTCTGAATTGACATCTTTGTATTTTTTCAGATCTTTCAAATCATTTTCCCCACTCCTTGGCAACTTCTCTCAGCCAGAAGTTCAGCTCTGGGCACTATGGGCCATGCATCATGTCTGCAGTAAAAACCGTATGTATTCAATGCACATTCAGAGCAGACGGCTTCCAGCTGATATCCTGAGTAATGGATGAGTTTAGAATTGATTTCTTGTGGGGGAGGGTGTTTTAAGACTGTTTCTCTGTAGCTCTGACTGTCCTGGAACTTGATCTGTAGACCAGGCTGGCCTTGAACTCGCAGAGATCTGCCTTTGCCTCCTGAGTGCTGGGATTAAAGGCGTGCATCACCAACACCTGGCTAGAATTAATTTTAATAAAATGTTTTACCCTCACCCAAACAAACAAAAAAATTAAAGCTGGGTAGTGGTGGTGGATTTAATCCCAGCACTTGGGAGGCAGAGACAGGTGGATCTCTGAGTTATAGGACAGCCTGGTCTACAGAATGAGTTCCAGGACAGCCAGGGCTACACAGAGAAACAACAACAGCAACAAAAAGAAAAACTGTTCTCTTGGGTCAGGGAGATGACTGAGTTGGTAAAAAGAGAAAGCACTTGTTGCACAGGCCTGACAGCCTGAGTTGGTGCTTCATGTTAGTCACTGTTCAATTGCTGTAAGGAGACACCATGACCACAGCAACTCTTACAAAAGAAAGCATTTAATTGGGGACTTGCTTACAGTTTCAGAGTCCCTATCATCATGGGAGAAAGCAGACAGGCATGCTGATGGAACAGTAGCTCAGAGTTTTACATCCTGAATCAAAGGAGCAGGCAGAGAGAGACCATCACCAATGGCACACTCCAACAAGGCCACATCTCCTTCCCTAACAGTTCCACTTACTGGGAACCAGGCATTCAAACATAATGCCTATGATGGCCATTCTCATTAGAGTGTGCCATAGAATGTCTGACTTCACATGCACATACACATAAGTACAAACTCACAACAAAAATACTAAAGGGGCTAGAGCAGCATTTCTCAGCCTGTGAGTAGTGACCCCATTGGGGGTTGATTGGTCCTTTCACAGGGGTTGCTTATCAGATATTTACAATTCCTAACAGTAGCAAAATTGCAGTTATGAAGTAGTACATGTCTGGGTATGTTCTTTTATGTGTATGGGTGTTTTGCCTCCATGCATGACTGTATACCATGCATATGCAGTGCCTATAGAGGCTGGAAGAAAGCATCAGATTCCCTGGAACTCGAATTACAGACAAGCCCTCTGGAAGAGCAGTAAGTGCTCTTAGCTGCTGAGCCACCTCTCCAGCCCCCAGAGCTTCTTTCCCTTCTTATTCTGGCTCCAAGATCCTTCCTTTACTGTATCCATTCAGCTGAACATTAGAATCTTTCTGTGCATCTGTGTACCTGAATGTATGTATGTGCACATACATTGCATGCAGGGAACAATAGAGGTCAGAAAAGAGGGTTTTGGAATTCCTGAAGCTAGAATTGCAGGTGGTTGTGAACTACCATGTGGGTGGTAGGAACTGCATAAACCCATAGTGTGACCGACTTCATGGTATGTTTAAGGGGAAGGACCTTTTTTATTGTAGATACGAGAAAGAGAACAGTCAGGAATTTTGAATAGTCCACAGCAGAGAAGGGAGACAGGGGAGACTGAGACAGGGGAGAATAGTAGCAGGGGATAGAGGATAGAGAAAACAGGAGAGAGGGGGAGAGAGAGACAGAGAGAGAGAAAAGCAAACATTGAATAACAAGGTTATAAGGAGATGGGTATCTGGGGGAGGAAAGCTGATGAACTGGAGGGAATTTATGGTAGGGGAATTGAAAATGGCAGGATTTTGAATTGTGTAACAGTTACTGAGGGAACCTTGTTGGCTAGCATGAGCTTTGATATGCTAAAAGACACCACAGGTAGCCGTATGCCCCTGTTAGTAGATGGGAAGCAGTTTCACAAGTCCCTGAGGAATGCTGGCCTTTATCTAACCACCATAAATCCTCCAGTCCAAGTTGAGCTAATTGGACAGCTTTTCAGTTTGGGGAATTGGAGTAGTCTTTGGGCCTACAAGGAGCCAGCAAATGAAGGAAGCACTGTTACAGCTGCTGAGCCATTTCTCCAGCTCTGGTGTGCTCCTTTTTCTAGTAGCTAGCTAGACCTAACGGGTATTTGAAGCATAGAGTTGTCTAGAAAAACACACTACGATGACCACCTGTGGTTTCACCATATCTGTTTATTCAGGGTTTGATTCATTTTTACCTGTTAATTCCTGGGCCACGAAGACTTCATGTTTCCACTGTGTCTTTCATGTGACTGTGGTGAATTGGGAACATTTAGAGTGTCAGTTGTTCACGGGTGTCTTTGTTTTTTTTCTAGCTAGCAAATACTGCAAATTGTTGGTAGAAGAAGGAGGACTGCAGCTCGTGTGTGATATCCAGGAGCATGGTCAGGCCAATGCCCAGGTGAGGCAGATGGCGGCCTCCATCCTGGAGAACTTCAGGATGCATTTCACAAGCTTACCAGAGACCCCCACAGCCCCAGTGCCCTCTTTGACCTAGGGGCCTTTGAAGGGTACTGCTTAAGGACAGGACTTCTGCCTTTGGGTAACGGAATTGTAAACTAGTTGTTGGTGTTTATCAATTGTTGGCATTTATCAGTTGACTGTCTTGGTGTTTTTTTCTTTTCTGTTACAAGAAAGCTGGGTCCTGGGAGACTTGGTATTGCTACTTCCCTCAGAGGCTCCTGGTTATTTGCTTATGAAAAGGTTATAGGAAGGTGACCACTGCTGCAGGGAGGAACAGTCTTTACTGCTGTTTTTCTTGATTTGTATGTTTATACCAAAATACTTTTGAGAGGTAAAAGGGAAGAAAACAAAACAGGGTTTTACTCTGTAGCCTAGACTGGCCTTGAGCTCAGCAGTCCTGTTGCTTGAGTACTGGGATTTTGAGCCTGAGCTACCTCACCCTGATAGCTTTGATTTTTCTTTCCCGTTTTCCTCCAGTTTGAGGAGTCAGACCATTGGGTTTGTGTCGAGTTAAAGCTTGGTCTGGACCCTGCATGCGTGTGAGTGAACACTTACAGAGGCCAGAAGAGGGTATTGGATTTGGAGCTGGAGTTACAGGCAGTTGTCAGCTGGGAGCTGAGAACCAAGCCTGGGTCCTCTGCAAGAGCAGTAAGCACTCTTACCACTGAGCCATCTTTCTGGCCCTTTGGTCAAGACTACTGGAGTAATCAGAAGCCCTCTTTGAGCATCAATGGAGGAAGGAACCCATTCTTAGCAATTGAAGCCAGCCTTGGCTACATATCACCTCGTTCTGTTCCCCACTGTCTTAGGAAAGAACTAATGATGACCATGTCTATAAACCACACTCTACTCACACACTGCTGTATGATTCCAAAAAAGGCTTTTAGTTTCTGAACCTGAGTTCTAGTACCTGGAACGTTGTTTTCCTGGGAACCACTAGTCTTTGCTAGTGGGAAGGTGTGCAAGGTGTGCAGTCCTCCTGTGGCTTTCTCCCTAGCACACGCGTTGGCAGCCAACCAACAATACAGCTGGGGATGCTCGGCCAGAGCTCAGCTCTCAGCAGCCGTGGTAGAAGAGGAGGTGGGCATTTATGTGTGCAGGGGCCTGCAAGGAGCTGGCCCTGTGTCCACTTTGTTTTCCAAATGCAGCACCTTATAGGTCACCGTTGCTTATGCCAGTTCAAAGGCCACTTGTCCTCTGGGCACCAAGTCCACTGCTGCCGCCTGGTTCCCCATCCCTTCTTTCAGAGCTGCTAACCCTTTGTCCATGATCCTGGATGAGTACCACTCTGTCTGCAGAAGGCATCCACTGGTCCCCACAACTTCAGTACAAGCCAACGGTTGTAGCACATTTATTGAGCACAAGGATTTTAAGTTACCACAACTGATTATTTTCAGATTAAAAAAAAAAAAGCTGAGTTCTAGTGGTTATATGGTTCGCCTGGGTTTATTCTGTGAGAGGAAGAAATGAGGGCTTCCCTCTCACTGCTTCCCATGATGACTGGGGCTAATTACAGAGACCCAAAGTGTATTTGAGTGAAGAGAGACAGGAAGGCCTGGATCCCAGTGACTAGCCAAGGTGAGCAACGTGGGAGGTAGCAGTGTGTGGCATGGTCAGCACCATGCCAATCACGGAGTCGAAAGGCCAGAGGTGAACTTAAGAGGGCTAGACTGCCCACTTTTCCTCTGGATCCTATTCTTTATGGTGTGTGGTTAAATTAACTGGGTCACTTGCCAACAAATTTTGGGGGTCGTTTCTCCCTGAAGGCTGCCATCCCTTCCAGTCGGTCCTGGGTTGGGATGTTCTGCAAAGATAACAATGGGCATTAGTTTGGGAAGAATAGGACTAGAGGACAAAAAGGTCATTGCATAAGTGGATCAAGCTATGATGGACAGTAGATTTTTCCCTCCTCACAGTTATCAAAAGAGTATGCTATCAGGTGTACAGCCCCTCTACAGGGTTGTCTGCTTATTCTAACCAGGCCTTAGCATAACCCCCAATAGAGGTAACTGGTACTGTGAAGCATCTTTGTGTTCTGTGGTTCTCTGGGTACCAGATGATTAAAGAGGTGAAGACCTGTGATTCCCTTGGATCCACTTAGGTTAGCTAGAAGGCACTGGCATAGTTAGACTGCATGAGGCTCCCCATATTTGCTTAGCGCCCAACAAGCATGCACAAGCCAACAGTACTTATATACCTGGGCATAACACATGTGTTCAATGGCCATCCCTGATGCAATGTCCACCTGCAAAAACAGTACTCACTGAGTCCACATGATTGCCAACCCCTCCGCAGAGAAGAGCCAGCCCACCCTACTGTCTATGAGTATAAATAATGCTGTTCTGTGACTGATGCCTGGACTTCACAGCAGTGATAAAGGGTCCTGAGAGAGATGGGTAGGAAGGCGTGTAGAAGTGGCTTCTACATGTTTCAGCCAGTGTCCCTTCCTCCTGACTGTTTGGCTGTGCCTTTTGTCAGGACTTAGGGAAGAGGCTTCTAGTCTTTATCACCTGGCACATTCTGTAGCCTCTGAAAACTCATGCTCACTGTTGCTAACACTGGCACAGTCACTAGCAAGCACTACTCAAAACAAGCATTTTGATCTGTAGAAGTCTGAGACACTTGGTTGGTTGGGGTCCCAGATGCAACAGTGAGTGGAAAGAAATGGTCTTTGGATTAAGACTCCTCCCCTCCAGGTTGCCATTCCTAGTCAATCAATCTTCAATTTATATGGCTGTGTTTCTGCTTGTATACACACACACACACACACACACAGTATCCAGGAATGAACATAGGGCTTTAGGCATGTGAGGCAAGTGCTCTACCATTGAGCTACAGTGAGGATTATAGGTGTGTACAATCATGCCTGGCCACTAATCCTCAGCTTTAGAAAACATTCTTTGCTGTGTTTAAGACAGGTTTTTCTGCACAGCCTAGCCTGGCCTTGAATTCTGAGATCCTCCTGCTTCTGCCTCCTGAGTGCTGAGATTAAAAGTGTACACACACACACACACACACACACACACACACACACACACACACACACACACAGAGTCTTTAACTAAGGATTGCTAGTTAGTCATATGAGGAAGAAACAATTTTGTCAAGTCTTTCAAATGTCAAAAGTTAGCAGTAATTCTTTTCCAGTTGGGGATTGACACTGGCTGTCCTAAGGGGAGAATACCATTAATACCACATAGACATGGACATGTTTCATCCCTGCATCTCAGTTCTCATCTCTGGTCTGGTGTAGTATGCTGTGTGACAGGAAAGCTAATGTCCTGAGACCTGCACTTAGGCTCCTTTAGTGGCCACCAGCCCAAGCCCAGGTCCCTGAGCTGAGGACCACACAGATCTGCCTTCTTACCACTCACGTTTATGTGGTCTTGCCTTCTTACCCTGTTTCTTTATACAGAAGTAACAGGGGATAGAATGGAATCAATATTAGCACACTTCCCACTGAAGTGAGGTACGTGCACAGGGTGTGACTCCAGGAGGGTGAAGAGAGTCCATTTCTGAGTTCTTGACAGCTGTGTGGCAGTAATACATTACATCCTAGCCAATGACTGACCTATAACCCCTGACCAGTAAAATCTTACCTCCATTCCTCGGTCAATGGCAACTTTGCCCAGCCGCACAGCAATGGGTGCCTAGGGGAGAGAGCATCCAGAGACTTGTACCAAAGAGACGCATAGCTCTTGCAAGTGAAGAGCATTGGACAGAATGATTCTGCATCCAGCCTTCCTGCTCACAGACCTCTTAAGTCAAGCTTCCTTTTCTATAGTGAAAGAAGCACACTTCCTGGCTGTTCAGTCTTAACCAGCCAAGGCTGTCCTCCAGTTCATCATCCCAGTATGTCCTACCCATTACAGTTCACAAACTGTAACTGTCTTTGGTGCTGGACAATAAATCCAGGGCGTCACCCATGCTGGGCAAGTGCTAGGCACTGAATTAGAGCGGTGGGCCCCTGACCTCTGAGCAAACACTTAAGACAAGATCTTGCTGAAGCGGGTCTTCCCTGTGGTCCTTAGTCTCAGGATTACAGGCATGTGCCACCGAGGTGGAGACAGGGTGCTTACGGACAACCCATTTTACAGATGTGAAATAGAGGCTCATGGGATTGAAGCGCTGGGGCTACAAGTATTCAGCGAGTCCCCAACTCCCAGTCATCTTCCCAATGTCGTTCCTTCCCTTCTAGCCCTCATCCCAGCAAGTGCTAATGTTTTGGGTTGTTTTATGCCCTTCTTTTCTCTCTTCATGTCCCCCCCAGGGAGGTGGAGGCAGGAAGGTGAATTTAGGGCTAGCCTGAGCTACATGAGGAACCCCCCCCCCAAAAAAACCCTGCAAAATTAAATTGTTAAAACAAACACATACATGTTTTATATATCATGAACATAATTAAGTATAGTTCTGGCTATGTGAGTATATTAAAATTAACAGCGGGTAAAATTCAGGTGTTACTTGGGAATAAGAATGGTGGGTGTTGGTGGCTCACGTCTTTAGTCCCAGCACTAGGGAGGCAGAGGCAGGCGATCTCTGTGAGTTGGAGGCCAGCCTGGTCTACAGAGTGAGTTCCAGGACAGCCTCCAAAGCTACAGAGAAACCCTGTCTTGAAAAACCAAAAATAGTGGGTCACTGTGGCTGGCCTTAGTATGTTCATTTCTTTGATGTTCAAATGGAAAACAGCCAACTCCTTTAGTTAATGTATCCTAATCATTTTACTCCCTATTCAGAAAGTTGTAGCTGTGGGACAAGTTGTCAGTATGGGTAAGCTCACAAATTATTTGCCAGTATTAAGGATTGAACCTAGCTAGAGCTTTGTGTATACTACATGAGCATTCTACCACAGAGTCACATTCCCAGCCCTCCCTTTAGCTACTCTTGAAGCACTCAAATGCCTGTAACTCTAGGATGATGCCATTGTACCATACTTCACTATTTGAAAATCTGAATCACCCCGAACTTCTGTTCAGTTTATTCAAAAAGGCAATTACTGAGCCTACATGTGCAGCTAGCTCATGCTCAATCACCTGGCTCCCTCTGGAGGTTTTAGAGACTTGCTGTCATAAGTTTGCCAGCATGAGGTTGCCTACAAGGAGTATCAGGCTCCATTTATACTCTGATCCTTGCCAAAGAACACATAGACAGAAGTTCCCTTCCCCTCTGAAAAATTACAAGTTTGGGGAGCTTAAAACAGTTTCTTAGTAGACCAAACTGGTCTTGAACTCAAAGAAATCCTCAACCTTCTGAGTACTACGAGCTTTACACAACTAGCTTCAAATGTAATTTTTTTTTTTGAGGCCCCTGCTGGGTTTAAAGGCATGTGTCATCACACCTGGCTTCAAATGTAGTCATTTTTCGTTTGTTCATTTTGTGACAAGGTTTCTCTGTGTAGTCTTGGCCTTCCTGGAACTAGCTGTGTAGATCAGACTGGGCTTGAACTCAGAGATCAGCTGCCTCTGCCTCCTGAATGATGGGATTAAAGGTGTGCACCACCACTGCCTAGTTTCAAATGTAATCTTAATGTTAAACTGATGTATGGCTAATATTTTTCTAAGTTTATATTCTTTCTATTTTGTAACATTTAAAAATGTTTTGAAATTAATATATTTGACTTAAATTAAAATTTTGTACAGATTCTATTAATGAGTGTCTCTGTGTTTGTGTGCATGTCCACCTCTGGTGTGTGTGAACCAGATGACAGCATCCCATTTCATCCTCTGGCATGCTGGTCCACATTTTTAAAGACACATGGTCTCTCATTGGCTTCCCAGTTAGTTTAAGTTGCCTGGCCCCCAAAACACCTGGCATTTTTTACATTCATTCTGGGGGTTGAACCCAGATTCTTTTTTTTTTTAAAGATTTATTTATTTATTATATATACAGTATTCTGTCTGCATTCATATCTGCATGCCAGAAAAGGGTGCCATATCTCATTACAGATGGTTGTGAGCCACCATGTGGTTGCTGGGAATTGAACTCAGGTCCTTCCTCTGGAAGAGCTGTCAGTGCTCTTAACCTCTGAGCCATCTCTCCAGCCCTGAACCCAGATTCTTATGCTTGTAAGGCAAACACTTTACTGACTGACCTCCCCAGACACATATTCTGTAATCCTAAATTTTACTGTAATCTTGTTTTGATTAGTGGTGACCTTGATGAGTTCAGTTGCCTTACACCTTTATGAAAAGGAGATCTCATTTTACTTCCAGATTCCTTTGTGAAAAGCCAGCAGACCTCAGAGCCTTGGAGACCCAGGTCAGATAGTTCCTGGGTCTAAATCTGCCCAGCAAGCAGTTTAAATTTTGTGGGATCAACCCCTTCAATGCTAGCTTTTAATTCACTAGCCAAGCATTAGTGGTTGCTTAGCTACCAACTCCTAATCCTTCCTTGCGGAATTTAAAAAATAAATTAATGTATGTCCTGAATATCTCATGAAACACTATGCAGTGTGGCAGGAAAGGTGACTGGTAGCAAAACTAGCTTTCTAGTCTTTGGGTACACTTTGACAGCAGTACTGTGCAATATCACATGTGAATGAGGGACTGTTCAGTGCAATTTAAGTAACTTCATCCTGCCATACAAGAGAGGAAGAAGGTTGCTATCATCACAAGAAGTTACTTGACACTGCAGCTTTGATGGCTTGGAGCCCACTAGATTCCAGCCCTTCTAAATTCACTTTATGTTTTAATTCAGAATTAAAGTTGGCTTTAACTACTGTGTAAAAGAATAGGTGCCCAAATTCCGGGGGTCACATCTTGTCTTTAGGTATGTGGGTCTTGTACAGCTCCAGGAAACATCTGGTCCCCTGGGCTTCCCATCATCCCTCCCTTCTGTGCCTCAACTGTCACCATACCTGGGGCAGGATCTCCTGAGCCAGTGCCAGTGCCCGGTGGTAGGCAGCATCACCCTCCTCATTCTGAGCCACAGCGTGATTTACCAGGCCCAACTCGTGGGCCTGCATCCCATTCAGTCTCCGGCCTGTGAAGATGAGCTCCTTCGCTAGGGCCACGCCCAGGCAGCGGGGCAGCCTCTGAGTCCCTCCTGCCAGTATGGAGAGGTGAGAGCAGTGAGTCAGGTTGAGAAGGGCAAATCTAGAGGAACTCATCTCGGGAGCAGTCAGGACGGAAGGAGGAAACGACCTAGGAAAAGGAAGTGGGAAAGATGAGGATGGAATCGGGCGAACTTACCTGCTCCTGGGAGAAGTCCTCGAGTGGTCTCAATTAGCCCCATGACAGCTGAGGAAGCTGTTTAACAGGAAAGAATGAAGTTGTCCCTTGCCCATTCTCCATTACCAGTCCCTGGGCAGACCATAGCTGTCTCTCCAGCCACTTCCTCAAGGTCTAGCCATACCCAGACCTCTCCAGACCCTGCCCAGGCCAGCTACCCACCCCAGCTGCTGTGGTCAGCAGGCCTCCCCTTCCTGAGAATCCATGGTGGGAAAAGATGGCAGCCCTTCTGCTCCTGCCACACAAGACTAGGGAATGAACAGAGTGCCAGCAACAAGGAAGGGGTCCCCAGTGGGTACCTGGCATTGACTTGTAGGTTACTGGGTTTTCTGGCTCATGGACCCTGAGGTCTAACCTGGACTGTTAGCACTATGGTTCTCCCTCATGGGTTGTATCACCCTAAAGGTGCACAGAACAGTCTTCTAAGTCTTGTTTCCTGAGTGCTTTTCCTCTATTCCTTTGCCAAGTTCCCTAAGTACAGGCCACCTGACCTGTACAGCGTAGGCAGTAAAATGGGGCAACACCATTGCTCAAGAGGGGTTTTCATTCTCCACTCTGAGTCAGTTGCTGAACCCGGGGTGAGTGAGTGGCCTCCTGCAGAATTCTGTTGCCTGGCTGTAGGATCAAACCCTCTCCAGCTACTCTGTGTGCAATGCTGGGAATGAAACCAAGCCTTAGCATGCTAGGTCAAGTCTCTCTTTCACACAGTCTGTAGATAGAAACCACCCTCTTGCCTGGATACATAATTTAATATTGCTGGGTTTGAAAGGGAAAGCGTGAGGGGGTGGACACCTCGGTGGCACTCTGCCTACCTTTAAGGACTCTCCCAGCTAAGTCTGACCTTGAAAAGTGACCAATGGGAGCCAGGTAGTGGTGTTGCACACCTTCAATCCCAGCACTCGGGAGGCAGAGGCAGGTGGATCTCTGTGAGTTTGAGGCCAGCCTGGTCTACAGAGTGAGTTCTAGGACAGACTCCAAAGCTACAGAGAAACCCTGTCTTGAAAAAACAAAAAACAAAACAACAACAACAAAAAAAAGTGACCAGTGGGGCTGAAGAGATGGCTCAGTGGTTAAGAGCACTCACTGGCTGCTCTTCCAGAGGACCTGGGTTCAATTCCCAGCACCTATATGGCAGCTAACAATGTCTGCAACTCCCAAGATCTGACACCCTCACACAGATGTACGTGCAGGCAAGAATAAAAAAATTTGAAAATAAAAAGAAAAGTGACTAATGACCTTGATTATCCTCCACAACTTAGGGCTCAACTGTAGGACAAGTAACCACAAACTGGCTGGCACCATGGAACCAGAACACACTGCCCAGTCACCTTTGCAATGAGCTGGGACAGTGACAAACACAGTCTTCATGGCTCACAATCTGACTTGGCCAAATCTAGATGGTCAACCTCTGTCCCCATTGGCTTTCCCTCTCTTTGCTGCACGGTCAGCTGGGGATCAATGGTTTTTACGACCTTTCTTAGATGAGGAAAGGAGCTCTCACCAGCACGGTCGATGATAGCAGTGGGTGGCGAAGCAGCTTCACCTGCCTCCCATGTCTCCTGCACTGCCGGGGCTTTTCTCTTATTTGGAAGGCTGGGAGTGACGGCTGACTTAACAGATCTGACTTGCCCAGCTTGGCCCAGTTGTCCTCCCATCCCCCCAGCTCTACCCTGCCAAGTACCTGCTATTCGGAGGTCACAGGCCAGGGCAAGTTCCAGGCCCCCGCCCAGGGCAAACCCGTCCATGGCTGCAATGGTGGGTGCAGGGAAGGTGGCTGTGGAGACAAAGATTGGCTTAATCCACAAAACCTAGCAGGTCCTGGGCAGAGGGCCAAGGCCCAGGGTCCTGGACAGAGGGCCTTGCAGATCCCAGGTTGAGGAACCTCCCTGATAACCCCAGCCAGGTTATCTGAGGAACTTACCCTATATTTCCCAAGTTCTAGAACAGGGATGATGCTGCAGACCCACCCTCTTTTGGGACCTACCTCCCTGTGTGCCAAGCCCTGGGTAGGTTGCTGGCATAGAACTCAGCTAGGTGTGCCCCCCCTCCCCTCCATGGGGACCAGCCTAAGAAGGAAGGCAGGCTCATAACCGGCAGAGACACTCTGAGGCCTTCTGTGCTCTGAGAGCAGGCAGCTTAGAGCTGGTGAGAGGACTTCTTGTAGGAGGAAACATTGGAGACCTTAAAGGGTTGCTGAAAAGTCAGGTAGCTGGGAAGGGTATGCCAGGCAGTAGGAAGAGCCATTGTCAAAGCTTGAAAGCTCAGTGAACTTGACTACTCTGGAGGGAAGTCCACCGGACTGGTACATGGTCAAAGAGCGAGGGCTGCTAGAAATAACTTGTTGCTAGGCTTGGTGGTATATGCATGCCTGCAGTCCCAGCACTGTGGGAGTTCCAGCCTAGACGACCTAGGCTGTCTAATAATAATAATAATAATAATAATAATAATAATAATAATAATAATAGTTTTTAAAAGGAGGAAGAGAAGAAATGCCCCGTCCCTGTCTGCTCTGGGTAATCACTTGTGTTCTTACTGAGCTCAAAGCAGAAAGAATACTCTCTTTAGAGAAGACATGGGTCAGGCAGAGGTAGTGCCAGCAAGGGCCCTCGGCCCTCCACCCCATTCTCAGACTCTTACCAATCTCACTCATCAGGCCTCGCAGCCGCTGGACAAAGATCGCCACCTCCGTGGCACTCATCTGCTCTCGCTCCTTCAGGTCTGCACCTGCCGAGGGCAAGCTTCTGGTGACCACTATGAAAGGGCCAGTCACAAAATCCCAGGTGGTTAAAGGAGCCAGCAGAAGCGGTCAGGGAGGAACCAGGAAACCCAGTCCCGGGAGCTGGGGGGTGAGGTGGGGTGGGTATCAGTAAAGGGAGGGGCAACGCGCATCAAAACAAAGTGCACTTCTTCAAAGGATCATCCTTTGTACACAAAAGAACATCATCAAGGGGCTGGAGAGGTGGCTCGGTGGTTAAACTGCTCTTCCTGGAGGACCCGGCTCTGCATGCAAGCGAGAAGAGGGCATCAGATCTCATTGTAGACGGCTGTGAGCTGCCATGTGGTTGCTGGGAACTGAACTCAGGACCTCTGCAAGAGCAGCCAGTGCTCTTAACCACCGAGCCACCTCTCCAGCCCCCTGAAAATAAATCTTAAAAAACATAAAAAGAACAATGTCAAGAACATGAAGAGAAAACTCACAGAAGAAATTAACTTTCTCCTCTCTCTCTCCCCCTCTCTCCCTCCCCCCACCTCTGTTCTGGAACTCACTATGTAGACCAAAGTGGTCTGAAACTCACAGAGATCTGCCTGCCTCTGCAGAGTGCTGGTATTAAAGGCATGTGCCACCATGCCTAGCCTTTAAATATTTTATTTTTATTTTAAATTATGTCTGTGTTATGTGTGTACAAACCTATGCAGAGGCCAGAAGAAAGCAACAGATCTTACAGATGCTTGTGAGTGGGTGCTGGGACCCAAACTCAGGTCCTCTGCAATAACAGTTGTAATTTGGATAAAAATGGCCCCCATAAGCTAGTCTATTTGAAAGTTTCATCAGTAGGGAGTAGCACTATTTGAGAAGCATTAGGAGGTGTGGCCTCTTCTCCCCACATCTCTCCCTCTCCTCCCCGCCCCCCCCTTGCCTTCTGATCAGGATGTTAACTCTCAACTACTTCTCCAGCACGATGCCTGCCTAAGAGCAGTATATGCTCTCAACTGCTGAACCACCTCTCTAGCCTTCACAGAGATGACTTTCCATACCACCCCCAAAAAGATCACAAGCTAGGGCTTGGGGGTGGCACCACACCTGTAATTCCAGCACTCAGAGGTGGAGATATGAGGATCAGAAGTCCAAGACCATCCTCAGTTACAAAGTGAGTTCAAGGCCAGCCTGGGCTACAGGAAAATGTCTCTAAAGGAAGAAGGAAGGAAGAAGGAAGGAAGAAGGAAGGAAGGAAGGAAGGAAGGGGAAAAAGTAAAACTAAAAGTTAATTATCATTTTTATCTTCTTGTCAGTCTCAAAAGTGCTGGAGTTATGGCATGTGTCATCACACTTAGCCAATGAATTCTGTCAAGGTTGGGCTATGAGGTCCAAGGGGGCTAAAAGCTGTGATTTTTACTTACCTCTTGTAGACTTGGGGTGCATGTTTCTCTGGGGTTTGAAACAAGTTCAGGGTGCCCTTGTGAGAGCCAGGTGATGCAGGTTGGAGGCAGTGCTCTAGTGACACAGACTGGAATTTACCATGTGAGCATGTTGGGACTTAGTGTCTCCATTTCCTCCATAAAGGGTCAGAAGAAAGCAAGGTAGACCAGAAAGACCAAGGTCAAGCCGGGCATTGGTGGCGCACGCCTTTAATCCCAGCACTCGGGAGGCAGAGGCAGGCGGATCTCTGTGAGTTCGAGACCAGCCTGGACTACCGAGCGAGTTCCAGGACAGCCTCCAAAGCCACAAAGAAACCCTGTCTCGAAAAACCAAAAAAAAAAAAAGACTGTGGGAACACCAGACCTTGAGCAGAGACCCACTTCCCCTTCTGCCTGGGAGTAGGCAGCTGTAAGACAATGTTTAGTAAAAACATGTTTACTAAAAACGATACAATAAGTTCCTGGGAAAGGCCTTCCCACGGAAACCGCCCTGACCTCGACCTTGTCCAAAGACTAACCGCACCTTCAAAACTCACACACATCCACCTCTGGGGTCAGAGCAGAACCAGCCAGGGGAGAGGAGAGAGAAGCTTCTCTGGAGGGAGCCTTTCTTAGGAGGTTTTCTTGAACCTTTCTGGGGCCTGCTTAAAGTTTTCTTTACACCATTGAACAAGTCTCTGTGTTGTCAATCCCCGACACCCTCTGCACATTCTCGGACACAGGCCTCGCAGCAGACATGACAAAAGACCAAGGTCAAAGCAAATCCTATGCATCCCTCACTAGCGGTGTAAACCAAACTTGCTGAGGAACTTCCTGTCTGTGAAATGGGACCATGTTATATGCCAGAGCCCTGAGGCACACCAATCCCTGAGGAGGAGAGGCTGGGAGGGAACCCACCTGCACAGAACACACCCTTCACTGCACTTCTGAAGATCAGGACACGAACTTGCTGGTCCTCCCGAAGCTGGGCCAGAGCTTCCAGCAGCTGTAGAGGACATGTGGTCAGACACCTCCTGGCCCATCCCTGGCCACACCCTGGGGTACCCTTTCTCACCTCGCTGACGAAGACTTTCCCCAGGGCATTTCGGGCATGAGGCCTATTCATCAGAACCTCGGTGATTCCTGCAAGGGACAGGTATCCTTGGTGAGCCAGCCGGCCTGCCAGTCAGACTGAGGCCTGGAGCAGGAGGTTCAAGGTAGCCTCTTCCCTTGAGGAGCAGTGTGAGGTGCAGCAAGCCACACACTCTCGACTTGGGCCTCAGTTTCTCCAGCCATTAAACGGAATAACCTTTGCTCTCTCTGCCCCAGAGAGGGAGTAGAAGGGCTTGTGAGCGGCGAATTAAAGCCACAAGAGAAACGAGAGCTACCAGCATGGCACAGGGACCCACGAGCTCTGTCATATATGTACCTTTAACTCCATAGTCCCCCCATATTATCCCCCCACCCCCGACCACACATTCCCCTCTAAAGAGTAATATTCAGGCAAATATCCTTGCATCCACCGGCAGGATAAGACATAGAACAACCACCCCAGGCCTTCACCATAGGCCTAACCCGTCCACCTCCTCTCTTCTCGGGTTGTAGAAGCCACCTCCATGGGTTTTTCTTTTTCCAGAACATTATTGTTATTCTTAACATAATTGTTGAGATGGGGCTAATGTAAACCAGACTGGCCTCTGTTGCTGTATGTTTTACCCTTTTGATTCTTTGGGGGGTTGGGGAGCGCCACCCAGCACCCAAATAAATCACACAAGGTGTCTTTACAGAAGTAAGAAAGATAAAAAGTGCAGAGGGGTAAAAAGGCAGAGAGACCCAGGGCTGAACTCAGATTGTCAGGCTTGCCAGAAAACTGAGCCATCTCTCTGGCCCTGAAAATAGATATTTTATTTTATTTATTTTGTTTGCTTGTTCTGTTTTTCCAAGACCAGATTTCTCTGTGCAGCCTTGGCTTCCTGGAACTCACTCTGTAGATCAGGCTGGCCTCAAACTCAGAGATCCACTGCCTGGTCTCCCCAATGTGCCACCATTGCCTGGCTTATTTTATTTTTTCTTTTGAAGATTTCTTTATTTTTATCAGTGGGGGCTGGAGAGATGCTCAGCAGATAAGAACAAAGGCTGCTCTTCCAGAGGCTCTGGGTTCAAGCCCCAGAACCCACGTGATTGCTCACAACCTTCTAGCACCGGTTCCACGGGCACCAGGCTTTCGTGTGATACACAGACATAAATGCCCGCAAAGGACATAAAAATATATAAAATATTTTTAAAATGTGCCCTGGGACATTTGCAACCACACACATTCAATAATAGTAAAAAATCTGACGCAAACAATAAAACAATACGTAAAACATGGTAAAGGGGATGGGTCTCACACAGACTGGAGAGAGGGATTCGTATCCAGGCACCTGAGGTCCAAACATACACCTGTACTTCACAGCACATTGTACAACAGAAGACTTTGCTGTCAACGGTCATGAAGTTGCCCTGTGTGTCGACAGACCCATACCTGTGCCTCCCTCCCTCCTTGTCCCCTCTGGTCCATCCCGATTGGATCTGCCGCCTCCGCCCCCTGATCATTGCCAAGGAAAAGTCCTGGCCAACAACACTCTTGGTCCTGATCCCCGGAGCAAAGCTCGGATCCGAGCTCTCCTCTCCGCTTCACATCTCCCTCCAGGCCTCCAGAGAGTTTGGAGAGACAGACCCAGACAAAGTCCACCCTGGGGCGGCCTGAAATCCAATCCTCCTGCCCTCCCGCCTTAGTCTCCCGGCGTGTTGGGTCCCCGCCGGCCTCGCCCTCAACTTTACCTTCGTCCGGACCTGTCAGCGCGTGCACTTGGATCTCGGGTGTCCCGTCCTTCGCTTTGGAGGCGCAGTCGCGGGCCCCAGGGGACCTCCAGGGCCGCGAGAGGCGCAGCGCGCGGGGTAGGGCGCGCAGCATCGGGAACAGGCTGGCTCCTTGGTTCGGAGACCGGAGACCTCCCCCGCTGAGCTGGAGAGTCGAAGTTCCGGGGCAGGCGAGGCTCGCTCAGGGCTCCACCTACGGGCGGAGAGAAAGACCCCGAGGCGGTGTGGGAAAGCTCAGCTTCCCGGTGAGATCTGGGCACGCTGCAGTTTTCCTCCGAAGGCGAGGTGAGGAATGTGTGGTGTGCACCTTCTTCACGTGTACCCTCAGTTCACGTCATCTCACTAGTCACAGGGGGGTGGTCTGCACCCAGTGACAAAGTCTCTTCTCCCAGAGGCAGTAAGGCTGGCACCTCCCAGTTAACTAACTACATTGGCTCATAGAAATAGTTAGAGGACCTGGGTTCAATTCCCAGCACCCACATGTCAGCTAACAACTGTCTGTAACTCCAAGATCAGACAAACATGCAAGCAAAACATGCATCGGTGCACATAAAATAAATAAATTAAAAATACCCTAAAAGAAAGTTTCTTAGTTAGCGCAGGGGACCTGTGTAAATTATTACTCAGGTCTGAGCACTCTAATGACAGGGACAGAGTATTTCATTTCTGGGTAGGTAAGAGCAAAGCGCCATCAGGTTAGGGCTGTCCGTCACATCCTTACAAAACCATCTTACCAGTCCCCTCCTTTTTTTTAAGGGGGGAAGATGAGGGACAGAGAAAAGAGATCAGATCAATGTGACACAGTTAGGGAGAATAGAAGCGTCTGCTAGCCCCAGGTCTGTCTTTGGGGTGCTGACAAGAGTGGTGCATTTGAATAGAAAAATAAAATAAAACAAGGGACAAAAACTGTGAACACTGATGCCTTGGTCAAGTATTGTCTGGTTGATCACTGTCTCTGTTAAAATTCCAAAGAATCCCTGTTGCTTGAGGGGAGGGATTGACTTCTAGGAAGCAATGGGTGTGCTCCAGTACACAGACAGCCTCGCCTTCATCTGAGAGTGGTCCTCGCAGGCTCTGCAGTTCTCGGAATCCAATGTGACTGCAGAGTTAAGACAAGGACTGATTTCTGTGCTCTGATGTGCTTCTATGAGGAGGTTAACAGGCAACCCAGAAGTAAAGACGGACACAACAACAATAGAGTCCAGGCTTATCTTGCCCATACCCCTGAATTGAAGAAAATATAGGAATGTATCACGAAAAACAAAAAACAAACCAAAAAAAGGCCTGACATTGCAGCCGGACGTTGGTGGCGCACGCCTTTATTCCCAGCACTCGGGAGGCAGAGGCAGGCAGATCTCTGTGAGTTCCAGGCCAGCCTGGTCTACAGAGCTAGTTCCAGGACAGCCTCCAAAACAATACAGAGAAACCCTGTCTCGAAAAACCAAAAAAAAAAAAAAAAGGCCTGACATTGGTGGCACATGCCTTTACTCCCAGCACTCAGCCTCCAAAGCCACAGAGAAACCCTGTCTTGAAAAACCAAAAAAAAAAAAAAGGAATGTATCAAAGAGTGTTAGCAGTTTTCCCTATACAGCATCCTGGTTTTCACGGCAATATAATTATTTTATTAAGAAAAAATGTTTTCTCAAGACAAAATAGTGGGGCGGTGGGTAGTGTACACTTTTAATCCCAGCACTCAGGAAACAGAGGCAGGCAGATCTTTGTGAGTTGGAGGCCAGCCTGGTTTACAGAGTGAGTTCCAGGACAGGCTCCAAAGCTACACAGAGAACTGGGCTGTAGTACGAAGAGGGAGTCTCACTTGAGAATTGCCTCCATCAGATTGGCCTGTGGACATGTCTGTGGGGCATTTTCTCTCTGCCTTTTTGAGACAGGATCTCACTCTGTAGCCTTGGATAATCCTGGTGCTCACAGAGATCTGTCTGCCTCTGCTTCACAAGTGCGGCCACCAAGCTTGGCTCTGCATTTTCTTATTAATGATTGATACAGAAGGGCCCAGCCCACTGTGGGCGGTGCTAAGCCTGGGCAGGTGGTCTTGTGTTGCATAAGAAAGCAGACTGGGCAAGTCTTAGAAAGCAAACCAGTGGCACAGCATTCCGTCATGACCCTTGCTTTAACCCTGTCTTCAGGTTCCTGATTTGATTTCCTTCAGTGAATGAACCATAGATCTATAAACCTAATAAACCCTTTCCTCCCCAAGTTGCTTTTGGTCATCCTGTTTATTAAGGCAACAGAAAGCAAAATGAGGACGGATGATATGTGTATGCTTGAGTTCACTATAGTTAACGATCATGTTTCTTAAGGGTAGGGTTTGCTGGGCCCTTATTTCATCAGGTTTTTTTCTTTTCTTTTCTTCAAGACAGGGTTTCTCTGTGTAGCCCTGGCTGTTCTGAAATTCCTTCTGTAGATAGACCAGGCTGGACTTTTTGTTTTGTTTTTTTGTTTTACGAGACAGGGTTTCTCTGTATTGTTTTGGAGGCTGTCGGTCCAGCCTGGCCTCGAACTCACAGAGATTTGCCTGCCTCTGCCTCCCGAGTGCTGGGATTAAAGGCGTGCGCCACCAACGCCCGGCCAGGCTAGACTTTTGAACGCAAAGATCCACCTGCCTCTGCCTCCTGAGTGCTGGAATTAAAGGCTTGCACCATGCCACCGCACCCATTAGAAGGAAGCTACAAAAGCAGTCAGTGGGACCTGAAATTTTGCTTTTGAGATTTTCAACAGGAGCCAGTAGTATGAGATTTTGAGCTGGAGTCTGGGAAACGGACTCTGGTCCTCTGAAGGAGCAGGGACCTCTCTGCGCTTCTGAGCCATTTCTCCAGATCCTCCACATATTGTGGAGTGGATCCCATTGTGTAGTGTAGCCCTAGCTGGTCTGAAACCCGGCTGGTCCCACTCAGAGACATGCCATTAGTCATGCACTAATGTGCTCGGTTTAAGAAGGCAATTAAGAAACCAACTCACATAGAAACAAGTGCCCTCAGTGGTGTTCTACAAAAGCAGGCCTTTGTCCTCTGTGCAAAAGGAGAGCACTTTCCTAGCGTGCAGAGAGCCTTGGTTTCATTCTTTATGATGTCAGAAACCAGGGGTGATAAATACAAGTTCTCTGGAGTAGAGGTAAGAGGAGCAGAAGCTGAATTCAAGGCTGTTCTGGGATACATGAGACCCTCTCTTAAAAGGAAATAAAATGAAATTAACTAACCAAGCATGTCATTTTGGGGAGCAAGTCACACAAAGATGGCTCTCCTTGGGCAAGACACAGTTATGACTTTGCTGACTCTTAATCTTTCAGAAGGTCATTGATTGTTGTGATGATGTCACTCTCGTGTGGACCTGGTATATTTACATTACTTGTAAATTTCTGTCTTCTTGGCAAAGAGAAAGGATGGAAGCCATCAGCCCCAAGAGGACAGAGACAACTCTACACCTTTGGCAGCCTGAAGAGTCCCCCAGACTTTACAGACCTCGACTGGGGCTCACCCTGAGGTTGAAAGGAGTTCAGGCATAGCCTCGTTAGGGAATCGGGGGTGGGTGTTGGCTGGAACCTCCAGCTAGGCCCCTCTCAAAAAAACTACCAAAAGTCCAGGCTCCTTCCACAAAGCTGCTAGTTCTTCAAGACCAAGCCTATGGGGTATTTAAGCTCACTCCTCTAGACCAGCCATGTGATTTCTCCCTTCCCCAACCTCACCTCTGGGGGCTAGAAAGGTCACCCGAGGGTGCTTTGCCCAATAACCTCGGTCTTTCACTTTTAATTCAGTGTGATCTGGCTTACTCAGTTGGAGGAGAAACCTAATATCAGGATACAAATACTTTTAAGTGGGAATTTCTCTTTCCTTCTTTCTTCTTTTTCTTTTTTTTTTTTTTTTTGTTTTTTTGTTTTTTGTTTTTTCGAGACAGGGTTTCTCTGTGTAGCTTTGGAGGCTATCCTGGAACTCGCTCTGTTTACCGGGCTAGCTCCTGCTTCTGTGGTTATATTGCATGTGTTTCCTCAAGGTGAGTAGGAGAAAGTAAGATGTGCCCAACCAGCTTCTCCAAGCAAGAATAAGCAATTAGTTCTCTTAGAATCTGCCATTTATATAATTGTGGTGGTTTTCAAATTATACCCCAAAAGGTTGCTGTCAACTTGACACGAACCTAGACAAACGTGGGTAGAGGGAATCTCAGCTGAGGAATTGCTTCCACCAGATTGGCATGGGAGGCATTTCCTTGGCCAATGATTGATATGAAAGGTCCTAGTCCACCGTGAGTGGTGTGACCCCTGGACACGGGTCACTTACATAACCTCTGGGTTATTTAAGAAACCAGGCTAAGGAAGTCAGGATAAGCAAGCACTGTTTTCCTCCTGCTCCCACACTGGTTCTTGCCCTGACTTCCCTCTGTGATCCACTGTTAGCAGAAACTGTAAAATGAAAGAATCCCTTTTCCCTCTAAGTTGTTTTGGTCAGTGTTTTATCATAGCAACAAGGAAGCAAACTAAGACACCTGGGAAGAGTAAATCTCAATTGAAGAATTGCATTTATCAGACTGACCCTGTGGGTGTGTCTTTAACTGCTGATTGATGTGCACAGGGCCCAGCTCGATCAAGTTCTCTCTCTGTCTCTCTGTGTGTGTGTGTGTGTGTGTGTGTGTGTGTGTGTGTGTGTGAACCTAGGGAGAGATAAGTGTTGGATCTCCAGCTATTAAGTACCCTCTGCTGATGCAATATGCCAAATCAGGCTGAATTAATAAATCCAGATTTAAGCCGGGCAGAGGTAGCGCACACCTTTAATCCCAGCACTCGGGAGACAGAGGCAGGTGGATCTCTGTGAGTTGGAGGCCAGGCTGGACCGACAGCCTCCAAAACAATACAGAGAAACCCTGTGTCACAAAACCAAATAATAATAATAATAATAAATCCAGATTTAATAAGCAGAGCAAAGCAACTCCCAGATGACTCTTGGAGAGGCAGGAGAGAACTCATGTGGTAGATCTGCTGAGAAGGTCTTAAATGCCCTGTAGGCGTGGTCTTGAGCAGCTCTGGGCAGGGAGCACTTGGTGAGCTTTCTGAGGGGCAAGGTCTGGAACGGGAGGAGTGAGACTGGAACAGAGATTCCCAACAGGCAGGTGAGGAGAAAAAGGAAGGACAGAAGGAAGGGAGGAGGGAAGGAGGAAGGAAGGAAGGAAAAGAGGAGGAGGGAGGGAGGAAGAAGGTAGGTAGTAGAGCAAGCAAGCCAGCTGGCAGGACC